ATGGTAACGGAACGACAGTCGAAATAAAAAAAAAGAGAATGATAATAAGAAATAAAAGATAATGAGAATAAAGAAATACAAGAAAATAAGAACGATAATAAAATAAAAGAAAACGCGAACGAGAATAAAGAAATCATAGAAAACGAGAAGGAGAACGACAATAAAGAAAGAAAAGAGAGCCAGAATAAGGAAAGAAAATAGAACGAGAATAAAGAAAGAAAATAGAACGAGAATAAACAAAGAAAATAGAACGATGAATGAATAAAGGAATAAAAGAAAACGAGAACGAGAATAAAGAAAAGAGAACGAGAACGAGAATAAAGAAAAGAGAACGAGAACAAGAATAAAGAAATAACAGAGAACGAGCATAAAGAAAGAAAAGAGAACGATGATAAAGAAAATAGAAAACGAGAACGAGAATAAAGAAATAATAGAAAACGAGAACGATAACAAAGAAATACAAGAAAACGAGAACGAGAATAAAGAAATAACAGAGAACGAGAATACGAGAATTAAGGGAATGGAAGTCGCGACGATAAAGAGAGAACAAGAACGGAAACGGTGATTGTAGCGAGGTCCAATTATATCCATTATGATAAGCCTAATTACTGTGCAAATGTGGGTCCGGATAATGACGACGATAATGATGATGATGATGATGATGGTGATGATGATGACGACTGTAATGGTCGTGATGCCATTTGGGAAATTAATGATAAATGGGGTTGATTATCGTAATGTTGGTGATCATTAAAGCGATTGCGATGATGATTGTGATTCTCTCTTTCTACTCTCTCTTTCTTTTTCTCTCTTTCTCTTCTCTTTCGCTTTTCTCTCTTTTTCTGTTCTCTTTTCTCTCTTTTTCTGTTCTCTCTTCTCTTCTCTCTCTTCTCTCTCTTCTCTTCTCTTCTCTTCTCTTCTCTTCTCTTCTCTTCTCTTCTCTTCTCTCTCTCTCTCTCTCTCTCTCTCTTCTCTCTCTCTTCTCTCTCTCTCTTCCTCTCTTCTCTCTCTCTGTCTCTTCTCTTCTCTTCTCTCTCTCTTCTCTCTCTCTCTCTCTCTCTCTCTCTCTCTCTCTCTTCTCCTCTCTCTCTCTCTCTCTCTCTCTCTCTCTCTCTCTCTCTCTCTCTCTCTTCTCTCTCTCTCTCTCTTTGTCCTCTCTTCTCTCTCTCTCTCTCTCTCTCTCTCTCTCTCTCTCTCTCTCCTCTCTCTCTCTCTCTCTCTCTCTCTCTCTCTCTCTCTTCTCTCTCTCTCTCTCTCTCTCGCTCTCGCTCTCGCTCTCTCGCTCCTCTCCGCTCTCGCCTCTCCCTCTCGCTCTCTCTCTCTCTCCTCTCTCTCTCTCTCTCTCTCTTTCTCTTCTCTCTCTCTCTCTCTCTCTCTCTCTCTCTCTCTCTCTCTCTCTCTCTCTCTTCTCTCTCTCTCTCTCTCTCTCTCTCTCCTTCTCTCTCTCTCTCTCTCTCTCTCTCTCTCTCCTCTCTCTCTCTCTCTCTCTCTCTCTCTCTCTCTCTCTCCTCTCTCTCTCTCTCTCTCTCTCTCTCTCTCTCTCTCCTCTCCTCTCATCTTCTCTCTCTCTCTCCTCTCCCTCCCCCCTTCTCCCTCCCTCCCTCCCTCCCTCCCTCCCTCCTCCCTCTCTCCTCTCTCCTCTCCTCCTCCTCTCTCCTCCCTCCTTCCCTTCTCTCCCCCTCTCTCTCTCTCCTCTCTCTCTCTCTCTCTCTCTCCTCTCCCTCCCTTCGTGATTATGTTAAATAGGGTAATTATTTAATGATGGTGATGATGGTAATTGTAGTGAAGGCCGGTATTTATTTCTTTTGTTTATTTATTAATTTATTTGTAGTTTTGTTTTGTGATTTACCTCTTTGTTTATTTGTTTGTTTGTTTATTTATTTACTTGTTTGTGTAATTGTTTATTTGCTTTTTGTTTATTATTTTTGTATTTGTTTGTTTGTTTACTTGTTTATTTAATTGTTTATTAGCTTTTTGTTATTTATTATTTATCTGTTTGTTTGTTATATATGTTTATTTAATTGTTTAATAGCTTTTTATTTACTCTTTATTTATTCTGTTTACTATTTGTTTATTCTATTTACTATTTATTCATTTGAGTTATTTACTATGTTGTTATATTATTTATGGGCTTTTTATTTATTATTTGTTTGTTTTTTTGTTTGTGTTGTAGTTTATTTATTTATTATTTATTTATTTATTTTATTATCATTGCTATTGTGTATATTAATATTATTATTATTATTATTATTATTATTATTATATTATTATTATATTATTATTATTATTATTATCATTATCATTATATTATATTATTATATTATTATTATTATTATTATATTATTATTATTATTATATTATTATTATTATTATTATTAATTATTATATTGTTCTTATTGTTATCATCATTATTTTATTATCATTAGTTTTAGTATTTTAGTATAATTATTATTACTATTACTATTATTGTTATTGTTATTATTATTGTTGTTGTTGTTATCATTAATATTGTCTTTATCATTATTGTTATTTATTATTGTTATATTATTATTGTTATTATTCTTCTTATCATCATCATCATAATTTTTTTATCATTATATCATTATTATTATTGCATTATTAGTATTGTTGTTGTTATTATATTATTGTTGTTGTATTGTTATTTTACGTTATCATTATCATCACGATCTACACACCAGATCATCATCATACCTACAGCACAGCACCCACTATCACACCAGCCACTAAAACCCTCACCCCCACATAACTCAACCACACGAATACACACTCCATAACTCATACTATACGCAACATTATCACACCTACAACCTACCACATTATCACGCAAGATGTAACACCACTACACCATCCACACACCACAACAGCATCGACACCACTACCACACCAACACACACCAACACCACACCACTTACACCAACGCACACTGCACTACAACACCACACCACACCACACCACACCACACCACTCACACACCACATGCCCTACAAACACCATCTACCAAACACCACACCACACCACTACCACACCACACCACTACCACACCACACCACTACCAAACACAACCAGCCAACACACCACCCTACACCAACCACTACCACAAACACACACTACAACCCACTACACCTCACCACAACTACCACACACAGCACACCAACCACACACTATTCACCTTCTACGCTCACGTCACCTCACCACACCACTCACCACACCCACAACCACCCACACACATCCACCACACCACATCACACAACACACACCACACCACATATCACTACACTTACCACACCACACCCCACCACACCACACAACAAACACCACATCACTACCAAACCTACCGCCACACCGACCCACATCTCTCCACACAATCCACACCACTACCCACACACATACACAACACAAGACACCACACCACTACCACTATAGGCTACCAGTACTCTGTACTACACCTACTAACTGCACACACTACCAACCACACACCACCACTACCACACCACACCACTACCACACCACACCACGCAAACCAGTGTCACTACCAAACCAACACTACTATCCACACCAACCACACACATCAAACACAACACAAACACCCATACACAACACACACAACACAAAACACAACACCACACCACACCACTCCAACAACACACTACCTACACCACACACCAACTATCACAACCACCACCACAACACACCACACACACAACAACACACAACACAACCCACACCACTACCACACATACCACACCTACACACCACACCACACCACACCACACCAACAAAACGCCGCACACCTCACCTCGTCAATGGTATTCATAAAACAATTTTCGTAATAACATTAATGATGGTAATGACTTTGAAATAATGATGATGATAGGAATTATTATAATTATGATAATGGCAATGATTATGATATTGATATTGATAGCAACAGTGATAATGATAATAAGGATAATGATACTAATATTAATACTGATATTAATACAACTAATGTTAATGATAATACTAGTAATAATTATTAAAATTACAATAATGAAAATTATAATAATGATAATGATAATATCTTATAATGATAATAATATGGTCATAATAATGATAATGATAATAATGGAAGTAATGAAATAATGATTAATAATAATGGAAGTAATAATAAGGAAAATGATAATAAATGATGATAAGCTTGATAACAAACTGATAATAAGATTAAATAATAGTTGGGATGATTGAGAAATGGATGATGGAGATAAGGATAAAATGATGATGATAATAATAACAAGATAATGAATGATAGTATAAATTATATAGTAATAATAGTAATGATAGAATAATAGTAAATATATAAATAATAAGTAATGATAATAATAATGATAAAATGATGATAATTATTATTGTTATTATTATTTCATGTATTATAATTACAATTGTTAATATCGTTATCATCATCATCATCATCATCATCATTATATTGTTAAGATGATTATATTATCATCATGATCATCAGCATCATTATCATATTATATTTTTATTATCATTATCATATGACTATTACTTGTTTGTTACAATTATTATCCTCACCATCGCCACCAATACTGCGAAATGTACACGTTTGTTTACAAGTTTGTTTACAACGTTTGTTTACAAGTTTGTTTACAAGTTTGTTTACAACGTTTGTTTTTGTTAACAACGTTTGTTACAAGTTTGTTTACATACGTTTGTTTACAACATTGTTTACAAGTTTGTTACACGTTTGTTTACAAGTTTGATTACAACGTTTGTTTACAAGTTTGTTTACAACGTTGTTTACAAATTTGTTTACAAGTTGTTTACAGTTTGTTAAACGTTTTGTTTACAACGTTTTTACAACGGTTTACAACGTTTGTTTACAAGTGTAAATCTTAACCAGTGGAAGGGTTGCGCGCCTTATTATTATTATTTTTATTATTAAGCCTTGCAACTAATTTCTTTTTCTTTTTTTCTTGCAGACTTCTCCTGACATGATGAATGACGACTCCAAGGAAGGTGAGTATATATATATTATATATATATATATATATATATATATATATATATATATATATATATATATATATATATATGTATTAATATATATGTATATATATTATATATATATATATATATATATATATATATTATATATATATATATATATATATATATATTCATATTTATATGCATGTATATATGTATATGTATGTATATATTGTGTGTGTGTGTGTGTATATATATATTATATATATATATATATATATATATATTATATATATATATATATATATATATATATATATTATATGTGGTGTGTGTGTGTGTGTGTGTGTGTGTGTGTGTGTGTGTGTGTGTGTGTGTGTGTGTGTGTGTGTGTGTGTGTGTGTGTGTGTGTGTGTGTGTGTGTGCACGCGCGTGTGTGTGCGCGTGTATGTGTGTGTGAGAAAGAGAAAGAGAGAGAGACAGTGATGTATGTACGTGCGTGCAAGCTTGCCTGTTTGCAGTTATGCGATTAAGCGGGAAAAATCTATACGCATGATAATCCATGTGCATTTCTAAGACATCTTCCCCTTCATTCTCTCATTTGTAATTCATGTTACTTCTCGTGGGTTATCGAGGGGAGTTTGGTGTTGTATGAGGAAGCTTTGAAGACTAACGTATGAGGTTGAGAGAAGTGCCGCTAGAGGTGCTGATGTCGGTGTTATATCCGGTGTGCTCTCTTCCCTCTCCTCTCCTCGTTCCTTTCCTCCCTTGTTTTATCCTCCTCTCTTCTCTTTTCTCCTCTTCCTTTCCTCCCCCAGTTCTCTCCTCCTTTCCTCCTCTTCTCTTATTCTCTCCTTTTCTTCTCCTCTCCTTTCCTCTTCCCTTCCTCTCCTCTCCTCTCCTCTCTTCTTCCTTTCCTTTCCTCCACTGTTCTCTCCTCCTCTCTTCGTCTCTTCCTTTCATATCCTCCCCTGGTCTCTCTTCTCTCCTTCTCTTCTCTTCTCGTCTCTTCCTTTCATGTCCTGCCCCGGTCTCTCCTCCTTTCCTCTCCTCTCCTCTCTTCCCTTATCTCCTCGTCTCTTCTCTTCCTTCCCTTTCCCCACCAATTCTCTCCTCCTCTTCTCTTATCTCGTTTTCTCTCCTTTCCTTTCCTTTCCTTTCCTCATCTCCTTTCTTCCTTCTCTCTCCTCTCCTCTCTTCTTCTCCTCTTTTCCTTCTCTCTTCCCTTCTCTTCTCTATCCTATCCTGTACTTCTGCTGTCCTCGCCTCTCTCTTCCTTCCCTGTTCTCCTTTCCTCACCTCCCACCTTTTCCTCTCCCTCTTCACTTTCTCTCCTTCCATACCCTCTCCTCTCTCCTTTCCCCCTCTCCCCTCTCCCTCCCCTCCCTCTCCCTCCCCTCCCATCCCCACCCTCCCTCCCTCCCCCCCCTCCCCTCCCTCCCCCTCCCTTCCCCTCCTATCCATCCCCCTTCCTTCCTACCCCCCTCCCCTCCCCTCCCCTCCCCTTTCCCCCTCCCTCTCTCCCCTCCCCTCCCTCCCCCCTCCCCTCTCCTCCCTCCTCCCCTCCCTCCCTCCCCCTCCCCTCCTACCCCCTCCCCCCCCGGTCGATAATACATGGAACTGCGACCCGTTTCAGATTGACCAGGAAAAAGTGAGATGGAAATATTGCGTCATTATCAGCTGATGTTCAAGGAAAGTAGGGGAGACTGAGATAATTTTGTTGACTCTGGATTGGTTCGAATCAATTTCTATTCTCTTTGATTATATATATGTTTTTTTGTCGTTTGTGGATGATATTTCTTTTGGTATTTGCAAAGATTGAGGGACTAGTTAATTTAATTGATTAATTTAATGTATTTATTTGCTTATTTTATATATTTATTATTTTTTATTATTATTACTATTGTTATTATTTTATTATTGTTTATTGTTATTGTTATTATTATTATTATTATTATTATTAACATTATCGTCATCATCAATTATTATTATTATTATTATTATTATTATTATTATTATTATTATTGTTGTGTTGTATTGTTGTTGTTGTTGTTGTTTATTATTATTATTATTATTCATTATTATCATTATTATTATTATTGTTATTATTATTATTATTATTATTATTATTATTAACTTTATTATCATCATATCACCATTATTATATTATTATATTATTATTGTTATTATTATTATTATTATTATTTTATTATCATTATTATCATTATTTATCAACCGGAATGCAATGAATAGGCAGGTGACGATTACCTGAGTGCAACATGTCCGTGTGACGTCACTGAAGGCAGCGTCACCAACCTGTTCTCATCAGTCATCACCTGTCAATCAAGTGCATCTTCGCCTTGACAAGGCCAAAAAAATGAAAAAT